CTTCTGCAATATTACGGCTAAGCTGCGTATTAGCTTGGACTTTTGTGCTTGGAATTCCTAATGAAACCTTCTTCTTATAAGAGCAGCTCGGGGAGTGCAAGAAACTAGTTTGGACTGAGCCAATGGCACAGTGGACAAAGGGGCACAACCGTTTGCACTGCAGACCTGGTCCAAATCCCACTTCCCAAAACTATTAGACATGGAAGGTGTATGTGACTTAAGCCAAGGAATCGGTGCAAGGTAAAGGGATTGGATCTCCTCAAACCATGGCCCTGATCCAAATCAAGAAGAATAAGAAGAGTTTGGATTTGATATCCCGCCTTTCACTCCCCTTCAGGAGTCTCAAAGCGGCTAACATTCTCCTTTCCCTTCCTCCCCCACAACAAGCACTCTGTGAAGTGAGTGGGGCTGAGAGACTTCAGAGAAGTGTGACTGGCCCAAGGTCACCCAGCAGCTGCATGTGGAGGAGCGGGGAAGCGAACCTGGTTCACCAGATTACGAGACTACCACTCTTAACCACTACACCACACTGGCTGCTTTTACACCAGGAGTAGTGGTGGGTAGTGCCCATTGGGACTGGAAGGGCAGAAGTCAGGGAGGTCAACAGTAGGTGGCGCCAGAGCCAATGGCAGGTAAAGACTATTAATTCCAGTTTTGTCCTCATCATCCTTCCTTTCTGGTTCTACAAGGGAAGCACTGAGACTTAAGATCATTGAGACAGATGTGGAGCCAAAACTGAGACTAAGGTGGGGGGTGGTTGAGGGTGGACTGAGGTTGGTGGCTGGGACAACCCAACCAAATGGCTTGACTCCACTGGTTGAATGTTTTAGTCACAAATGCAAAACTCCAGCATAACATAGCTTGGCCCTCTGAGTGGAGACAGGAAATAGCCTTTTCAGAAGCCCTGTTCATTTGTACTTTTATTCACATGTAAGGTAAAAGGTAAAGGTAAAGGACCCCTGGATGCTTAAGTCCAGTCAACGGCGACTATTGGGTTGGGGCACTGGCCAAGGGAGCCGGCATTTGTCCACAGACAGCTTTCCGCGTGCCCAGCATGACTAAACCACTTCTGGCACAACGGGACACTGTGACGGAAACCCGAGCGAACAGAAATGCTGTTTACCTTACCACCACAGAGGTACCTATTTATCTACTTGCACTGGCGCGCTTTCGAACTGCTAGGTTGGCAGGAGCTGGGACAGAGCAACAGGAGCTCACTCCATCACAGGGATTCGAACTGCCGACCTTCTGATCATCAAGTCCAAGAGGCTCAGTGGTTTAGACCACAGCGCCACCTGTGTCCCCCTCTCACATGTAGGGCATGTGTACTGCAGCAGGAGCTGGTCTCCACTACTGATCCGAACCCTGGTGTCCTCAATGCAACATTGCCACCACACCACATGAGGAGCGCATTTTCCCATGTGATGAGCACAGAAAGGGAACCCTTCAAACAGGCAACTGCATGCCTAGCAAGCGCATGTGCAAGGGACATCCCATATGTGGTTCTCCCCCTCCCCAATTTATCCTCAGGTTAGGCTGGGGGACAGTAACTGGTGCAAGGACACCCCATGAGATTCATGGCCCACTGGGGATTTGAACCCTGGTCTCCCAGATCCTAGTCCAACATTCTAACCATGCTGCCTCTCTGGGTTCAGCTTTGTGCGATGGAGACACAGTATCAGGAGCAAACTAGAAACATGGCCCTATGGCTGCTGCTTCTGGGTTTCCTACACATGAGCAGATGTCTAAATGTTGCCAAGGAGTTGGAGGTACAGTGGTACCTCAGGTTACATATGCTTCAGGTTACAGATGCTTCAGGTTACAGACTCCCCTAACCCAGAAATAGTACCTCAGGTTAAGAACTTTGCTTCAGGATGAGAACAGAAACCGCACAGTGGCAGTGTGGCGGCAGCGGGAGGCCCCATTAGCTAAAGTGGTACCTCAGGTTAAGAACAGTTTCAGCTTAAGAACGGACCTCCAGAACGAATTAAGTTCTTAACCTGAGGTACCACTGTATTTGAAAAGAAACAGTGCTGTTTGTGGTATGTACACACATCCTACTTTCCTTTTGCTTTTGAGTAACATAACTTTCTGGGTATTGTTTGAAAACCCTTTTTGACCTGAGGCAACAGTGGCACAAAAGAAATATATATGTATCACGGGAAGAAAACTCTTTCTGAAACCAATTTCAGCTTTCTTTTAAAGGAGAAACCCTATATGTCCACAGCACAACAGAGCTTCTCTGAGTCCTTTGAGAGACAGCCTTAGACTATGTACACAAAAGGAAATAAGACCATGAAAATAAACCCCACCCTTGAAGGCCCAAATATTTGCCTATAATGTGAGGAAGGGAGGGAGGATTAGCTATATGTTTTCCAACAACTGACATGGAAAAATGTGTATTTGTAACAATTCAGTCAAATGCATCTGTCATAGACTAACTCTTCCCTCTTTGTTCCCTTCTTGCAGGCTGTTTCCCACATCTAAATAAATATTTATTGCATTTATATCCCACCTTTTTCTCAAAGGAGCCAGAGGCACCCAAGACTGAGGGGGCCCATCATGTGTTGTGTTTGTGTGACATCATGTGCATGACGTCAGATCGTCAGGCTGAGTGTTTTGTGGTCAGGCTGCACCTTTGCATACGTGACACTGGCCTCAATGCTAGTGAGTTCTACAGAAATTCCATGTCAGGTGACTTCTCTGTGTTGCAATCGAGGAATACTGTCTCCATCGTAGGGCAACCAGAGAACTATAGGCGTTGTGCAGCGTCAGGGATGGTTCTGCCTTGGAGAAAGTATGAATGCCTTATGGCAATCTATTAAAATGTTAATTGCATAACCCAACACACAACAGAGCAAAAGGCAACCTCAGCGGCAGAGATTTAATCCCTTCTGATAGGTTTTAAATGGCTAGTGTGTTAAAACAAAGCACAGCCACTACGATGCCTTATTAAAGTTTTTTCTTTTCATGAGTTTTATTTAAACCTCCACTTTCCATCTCCCTGCTGCCTCACACTTTTCCTTCCTGTTCTAAACTTCTAAGTAGCACATTTTTGTTTTGACCTTCAACATCCAAACTACAAAAGAAAAGACTTTCTCAGACATTCTTTGACTACACTGCGCTGTTCTCTTAAGAAGCCTTCTGCTGATTTTTATCCTTAGGGATCAATGGTTCCTTCAGTTCCATAATCTGACAAACTGAATTAAAAGCAGAGGGCCCGCATTTCAGGAGCAATATGTTCGAACCTGAGTAAGATGACAGCATAGATATTCTCCCCCAAACTCGCAAGCCGTAGGGAGGGCTTTGAAAGTCTTTTAGCTTAAGTCACTCTATTTGGGAGAAATGAGATGGAGAAACACGGTGGAGAAACTCTATTATTATATTTCAGATTATGGTAATGCAGAAAGGCCTCCAAACTAGTGATTGAAATAATGGGTATGTTACAGTGTGCAAACATAATGTAACCTCTGTGCAGAACCTCCTCCTTCTAAGAGGCTAATCACTTCTATAGTGTGTTTTCTTCAAACCAGAATCCCACAGATACTTCTATCGCATGGAGGTTGAAACAGATAATAGGGTTGGAGGGAGGGATATGCTTTTCCAGCTGTTACTCACACTCTCTTCTGTGTGCTGATGTCACTGGATTTCATGTTTCCTGACTTGGAAAGGCAAAATTGTAATGCCTGCTTCACGTATGAGATGACCATATTATAGCCTCGCATGCACTTTTGTGGCTCAGGTCGTCTGAGCCACAGAAGAAATTAAATCTTTTCTCTCTCTGCCTCCCTCCCACCTTCAAAACTCTTCTTCCTCCAACCCACTTGCCTTCTTAAGCCTCAATAGAATAGAGAAAGTAAGGGAGGATTCTCTTGCCTTCTTTCGGGTCCCTTGCATGCTGAATATCAGCAAGGTGCCAGGAGCTCTGGGTAACATAATTTCCCAGTGCCCCAGCATCAGAATTGCTATCATAGTAGAGCATGGGGAGGGGGCAAAGTGGGAGAGAGACCTCCTGCCTTTCTTCCAGAGCAGCAAGCCAAGTCAGGGGGTGAGCTGGAAGGCCTTGGGTGGGTCTAGGCAGCTAGATAGGTGGTGTGGTACAAGGGCAGGGACCTGGCTGTCAGAGGGCAAGGGAAGTGTGGCTGAGCCCTGAGTGAACAAGGAAGTTGCAGTTGTGAACAGGAGCAGCAGATACACTGGGCCCTCAGGCAAAGGTCCATCCACGCCAACTCTCAATGCCAACCCTGGACAAGTCACGAGCTCAGCTCTGGGTTTATTATGCAGGTAAGCAAAAAGAAAGGCTTCATTCTTTTGTCGCTGCCCGCCCTGTCCTTCCTGAAAGAATTTGGACCTCCTAAAAGCCTCAGCTGTATTTGCACTTGGCAAAAAATATAAAAGATCTGTGCTGCATTTTCCCAGCTACCAAACATTGGTAAACACTAACAAAACATCCATTAGACATTTTGTTGACTGCGCCGAGAGTTTGGAAAAAGTCGGATGAAAATGAAATGCTCCTGTGGGAAATTACATTTTTATTGGGAAAATGTTTCCTGTCCTTACACTTCTTCAACATTCTTGACCAGCCTTAAGTGGCTATCTCTTACGCTGGCAAGGGAGCCTAATGAAGCTTAAGGACGTTGGAGCTCCATCCATTTGTAGCAGCTGAGGATGGATCTTGACATTATCTCTCTTCCCCCGCCCGCCCTTTACGCTTTTAAGACTGCAATCCTATACACACACTTACCTGTGAGTAAATCTCCTTGAGCAGACATGCATACGATTGCACCGCAAGGGTAGTTTCTGATGAATGGGAGTTGAACTGAACGGAACATCTTTCCACAAAATATTATTGCTCCACTTTAACTATTTTGGTCTTGCTGCTGCTGTTATTTAGTGCTTTTTCAAATATTTCCCTAGACTCTCCTTTCTCTGAATTTAGAGGGGAGGAGCGGGTAAAAGGGGAGGTGGGAGAGAATTCGGCAACTAGGAAGATTGTTATTTTTTAGTCCCAAAATCATTACTTACGGTGGTGAGAAAAAAAGTCATTCCCAGTACAAATTCTCCTTAATGTCCACTCGTGGGGACTTACCGGGAATGACTTTTTTCTCACCACCGTAAGTAATGATTTTGGGACTAAAAAATAATAATATTCTCTTAGCACCCCAAATTTTGTCCTGGAATTTTCCAAGTAGATTCCACCCCCCCCCCAAGGAATTGAGATAGAAATGGGTGCTAAACTTCCACTAGATTTCCAGAAGTGGCTTTTTATTGTCATGTGGAAGATGGCAAAAAAGTGGAAATCTTCAGGTATGAAAACATTGGGGAAATGGAGTAAAGTGCTGTCTGATTGCAGCCTTTGGCTCCTGAGGAAATGAGATCAACCCTGCAGTTCATTACAGTTCAATAGCAGCAAGGCAGTGAATGCAAACCCCAGCACCTTAGCGCAAGGTGCACACAGGTCTATTCCTGCTCTCGTTGGCTGACTCTTCCATGCATCATGTATACAGGTCGCTAGTCTTGAGATGGGGAAGCCAGATCTGTTTACGTGACTATCTCCCCAGAATTGTTAAGAGGAATCTTCTTGCCCAGACACTGCCTTTTGCGTTTAGCCATCACAACTGTATCAGTTCCCGGTAACAACTCATTACCTTTATTAACATCATCATCAATCATAGTCATCATCCTTGCTTTCTCTCTGTAGAGCCAACGGTGTATGATTGGTGCATCAAAAGATATCGATTCTGCTCCCCGACTGTAAATTTTTAAAGAGAAGTATAATGAATTATAAATAACAATACTTTCTTCATACACAAATACCTTCATTTATTAGTGAAGACGGCTCTTCAGTCTAGGTTCAAGTGCACTCTTGTTAGTAAGGAAAAGTTGACGGAACTAGCCAAACAGCCCTACCATTTTTTTATGGCAGAAAGATACTAAATCCATGTTGCCTCAAATCTAACATTTTGCATTATGCACAGGGCATGGGGGAGATTTGTATTTAAGGAACTTCTGTTTCATGTGCCCAAAATCACAAAAATGCACCAAATTTCACAATGGAAAAGGCCTGTTCCAGAAATCAGAGGATGAAGGATAGCACCCAGCAAAGGGAATTTCTCAGTGCAAATTGGGGTAAACTGCCTCTTGCCTCTGCTGGTACCCAGCCATCTGGACCCTGAATCTGGATAGAAATGTACATCTTCAGCAAATAAATCTCCATTGCAGCAATGCTCATTTGCATATTTGTTTGCTTGGTTTGGACCGCACCTTTCCATCAAATGGTGCATATAGGTCTTTCTGGACCAAGTCTTTGTATCAGGCACAGGAAACCTCTAGATTAGGCCCAGTGGGGTGTGTGTGTGTGTGTGTGTTTCTGTCTGCGTGTCTGTATTTGGTGCAAAATTGAAAAGGCAAGTGGAGGATGCTGTTCTGCCTCCTCTCTCTCTTGTTGCTGCTCGGATGCTCAGAGAACAGAGGTAAACCAGCAGTGAGAGCCACACCCTCTAACATTCCTCAGATGAAAACAAGGACTCCCCTCATCTGACCTTTCTCAGCCTCCTATTTTTTGTCCACCACCACCCGAAGCATTTCCTGTCAGAGGAAGGGTGAATGCTACCACTACTTTACCAATGGGACACAGCACATATTCTCCCCGTCCCGAGAAACCCCTTAATCCTGATTTTATTTTATTTTATTCTTTGGTAGATGTACAAAAAAGAAAATCACACACTAACAAATAAATGTTGGAAAGTGTTATGTACTGAAGTTCTCACCCTGGGCCAGCAGAGGGATACTGTAGATAGTTTTTACTCAGGTTCACATATGCAAATAAGGAATTGAAAGTGACGTTCAGTGATTGGATAGTTACAGAAAGTGGTTACTGTTGCGTTGTAGTGCCCCACAAATAACCCAGAGATGCATTTTAAATAAAAGCACACATTCTACTCATGTAAAAACACACTGATTCCCAGACTGTCTGCAGGCCAGATTGAGAAGGCAATTGGGCCAGATCCGGCCCCCGGGCCTTAGGTTGCATACCCCTGCTCTAAACTTTTTTTTTTTAAGAAAAAAAAAGCACTGGGAGATGCCAACGGCTGGCTCTGCCAGTTCCACCAATTGATTGCAAGGCCAGAGAGTGCCCATACGAGTTCTGCTTGCCCACATTTCTGGCCTGGCTCCAATAGGCTTTTGCTGCCCCCTTTGAAAGATCAGATCCCACTTTCAGCCTGAACAGCTCCCTGACCTGTGAACGCTCCAACAACTTAATCTCCAAATGCATATTGCTTACCGAAAGCCAATGCAAATATACGGCTTAAAATCATTGGGGTGGGTGGAGGGGTTCTTAGGTCATTTGAAATCCATTCCTTACTTCCTTCCCATGACTACCTCTTTTGTTATGGCCTCTCTCACTCTCTCCTTCTTCCCTCGTTCCCCCTCCAGACCTGTCACCCATTTCATTTAAGCACTTAGCTCCCTTCTAATGAATGAATTGGCATTTCATATTACCTTATTATCCTATAAAGCCAAATGCATACTCAATAACATTAACGGTAATTTCTCATAAAGAGACATTATCGATTGGGGTGCTACCTGTAAGCATTGAAAATTGCAGCCTCCACACAGAGCCTTCCACATCTGGGGCCTGAAGAATTAAAGAAAAATTAAATTTGACAGCAGTAAATTCACAGGCACAATCGAGGCACCAATTTATATGCAAAATGAAATGCTTTATGAAAATTTCCTCTATTTTCTCACGGAGATTTGGAGGGTTGTGGGGAGGGGGGGGAGAGAGATTTCACTAGATGCCTCTTCCTCTAATATCCCTCTACTTAAATATTATACCGCAGCCAGTGCTGACTCCCTTTGATGTATAAATAATCAAGTTAAATTATATGCAGCAAGGAGACTGGTTGCTCTGCCATTCTTATTTTACAAAGTAATTTCTACCCTAGAGGGTCAAATTTCCCTGACAAATTCTTAATTACTATGTTGCAACAGCAGCAGAATCTATTTGTGCATAAATCCTGATCATTCCCATGTGGTAAGTAACTAATATTACCAACCATTTCACTTGGCCTGTTCACTGAACTCCATAATTAGATAATACTTTTGATGATGGTACATTTGAAGTCTTAATCCATTTAATTTTTTATGAGATTTTTTTTTATTTTAATAGGGATATGCTAGTGACCGCTGCCTATTTAAAAAATCATTAAAATTCTGTCCACAGCAGTAATAAAGATTAAAGATTACTAATATGGCATTCATAACTTTGCTGGTTTTCTCGAAATCCAGGGCTTAAGGTAAATGGTAAAGGTCATTTAATATGTTAGTCCCTAATTATAAGCCTGGGTAATAGGTTTCTTTTCTAATTATCCTGCTGTGTGTGTGTGCGCGCGCACGCATGTATGTGCGTGCGCACACACACACACACACATTCTTAGGTTGCTATAAGGAAGTGGGAGCACCAGGGTAAGGGAAATAAATAATCTTGGAATTAAGGCTCTGAACATTGATGAAAGTCAGTAATGCATGATGATTAACTGGATAAAAGTGTATGTTTGAATGTGGCAGTGTCTTGCCTTGCAGCACCTTACAAAAAGATGCAGCATCCATTTACCAGTAGAAAATGAAGGAGAAAAGGTCATTTGGAAAGATTAATACCTTTTTAGTTTAATACCAAACATTGACAAATAAGATGAAGGCCTTTCGCAACTGTGTTGAAAGCAAGTCAGGAGCTGCTCAAGACCCGAAAAAAGGGAGGGAGGGATGTGTTAGTTTCCTCCATCAGTGTCGTCAGAAAATGGGCCACCATCCTTGATCGAGAACAGCTGCCAACTCGCATGGTACCTTTTGGCATATGAAATCAGGTCCACGCCCCAAGGCGCTTACAATCTAGAATTCAATACTGAGGATAGTAACATGATTGCATGACTCTTGAGGGCGTAGGTGCCAACTACCTGGGGTCCTGGGCAGTGCCGGATTTAGGTTTGATGAGTCCCATAGCCAATGAAGGTAATGGGGCCTTTTCTATGTCCAGCTCTCCTTTGTCAACAACAAATTCTCGCTGTTTCTGTGTGTTGAATATATGCTATATGGTAATTTATGGACCTAGTAGGTATCTGAAGCCATTTGCATGTAACAAAATATGTATTTTATCAAAGTAATCATTGAACTTATCTTATATTTTGGAAATGTTGATGTTGTTTAGTTGTTTAGTCGTGTCCGACTCTTTGTGACCCCATGGACCAGAGCACGCCAGGCACTCTTGTCTTCCACTGCCTCCTGCAGTTTGGTCAGACTCATGTTTGTAGCTTCGAGAACACTGTCCAACCATCTCTCCTCTGTCGTCCCCTTCTCCTTGTGCCCTCCATCTTTCCCAACATCAGGGTCTTTTCCAGGGAGTCTTCTCTTCTCATGAGGTGGCCAAAGTACTGGAGCCTCAGCTTCACGATCTGTCCTTCCAGTGAGCACTCAGGGCTTATTTCCTTCGGAATGGATAGGTTTGATCTTCTTGCAGTCCATGGGACTCTCAAGAGTCTCCTCCTTCATGGAAATGTACATCCAGTTTTCCCCCCCTCTATTTTTTTTGGGGGGGCAAGAGAGTGGGGCCCTAAGCTATAGCTTGTTTAGCTTATACATAAATCCAACACTGGCCCTGGGTGCCCAAGCACCCACAAAATTCCCCATGAAGCAGCTGGGCTATTTGGAGCAGGACATTTTACCCTTATGCCGAATTGACTCTGTAGGATTGCTCTGTAGTTTAATCTGATTTCGCTGTAATGCTGACTACATGTCTCCTTATTGACTGGGGCCACATGGACAGCAAGAGGGCAGCAAACTTTCAGACACCTTTGTGTCAGTTAGTAATGGCTGATGTTGGATTGGTTTGCACTGGAAGCAAACTGAGCATTTCCTCAAAACCGAGAAGAGAAGAGTAAGACCATTTCTTCTTCCCTGTAGCTTGGAATTGGTCAACCAGGAAAGGGAAGTGGGTTGGGTTTGTCAAAAGAAAGGTGGCTTATTTGGATGAGAAGTGCAAACTAGGGAAGAATTTGGGGGTCATGATGCTCACTTTGCAGTGAGTATTGTGAACCTTGAAAGTGAAATGCAAGTTCTGCGACGTCACTAATGCTAAAAACATTAATGTAGCTGCCAGGAAAGACAGCTAACAGGCACCTACCCCATCCCCCCAAAAAAGATTTCAAAAAGTTACCATTTTCAATAATAATAATAATAATAATAATAATAATAATAATAGAAGAGTTATTTGGCGTCTCTCCAGCTGTTAACAAAATGTTGCTTCTATGCTAATATCATAAATCAAACCAGGAAATCTTTTCCCAACAAGCCAAAAGTCAAAATCCTTAGTTTTCTGTTTAAAATAATTGCTGTCTTCACACAGTTGATAATTATTAAACCCATATTATATCAATAAATACCAATGCCCGGGATTTGTGACGCAGTTTTAATTGGCCGCCATCATGAACGGAAGTGCAGACCAGTTGGCTGTTAAAGTGTATAGGGGAAGGTGAGTCATCAATATTCTATGTTTGTATTTTTAACTAAGACCCTTCCCTGGAAAGGCTAATGTTTGAATGACAACTGGTTTGGGGAAAGTATGGGGCGGATGCCTTGATTGGATTTTATCTGGACAGAATGGACTGGACATCTGCATGTAATGGGAGGATTCTTGGACTGATTTGGCAGAAATACCAGCTTGTGAAGAGACGCTGCGAACCTATACAGGGGAATCCTGGGCATAAAACCACACAGAAATATATTGTTTGATTTATCTTGCTTGTTGGAAGAACTCAGAGGCTGCGGGAAATAATGAGGATTAACATCAGAATTAATTATGGGAACCATCAGAAATGAATATGAGAAGCAGTAGAAGTAGGAGATAATCAGATCCCCTCCGACCTCAGAGCATGGTGAAGTCTCCCCGAAAAATTTATAATTTGGCATAATATTTGGATTGTTTAATTATTGAATAATTTGTATAATGCAGAATATATCATGTGATTTGATTGGAATGTTAAAATGGAAAATTTAATAAAATAATAATAATAATAATAATAATAATAATAATAATAATTTATTTATACCCCACCCATCTGGCTGGGTTTCCCCAGCCACTCTGGGCAGCTTCCAACAAAATATTAAAAATACAGTAAAAAATCAAACATTAAAAACTTCCCTAAACAGGGCTGCCTTCAGATGTCTTCTAAAAGCCAGATAGTTGTTTATTTCCTTGACATCTGATGGGGGGGCATTCCACAGGGCAGGCACCACTACTGAGAAGGCCCTCTGCCTGGTTCCCCCTGCAGTGAGGGAACCTCCACAAGACCTTCAGAGCTGGACCTCAGTGTCTGGGCAGAACAATGGGGGGTGGAGACTCTCCTTCAGGTATACTGGGCCGAGGCCGTTTAGGGCTTTAAATTGTGCTCGGAAACGTACTGGGAGCCAATGTAGGACTTTCCAGACTGGTATTATGTGGTCTCAGCAGCCAATCCCCATCACCAGTCTGGCTGCCGCATTCTGGATTAGTTGTAGTTTCCAGGTCACCTTCAAAGGTAGCCCCACGCAGAGCGCATTGCAGTAGTCCAAGCAGGAGATAACTAGAGCATGCACCTTTGAAATGTTTCATTTTGTGCCCAAAATGTTCCCCTTCAAAAATTCACTGCAGCCCTAATGCTAACTATACCCATGAAGATGTATTAATGAACATTTCAAAGGAATTGTAATCCTGCCTAAATCCTAGCATGCGTGCACAATATTTCCAGTGAGTTTTTCCTTTGCTTTCTGCAACTTTCTTATTTTATGTGTTTAGCATGGGGTCGGTAGATTGAGTTCCCCCAAAGAGTTCCCCACCTCCACAGAAACAGCTTAGGCGTCAAATGATGGAAATAATTTCCCTGTCAATAGTAAATCTTCAAGAAGCTACAACAGAATTGTATATAAAGCCTCTGATTAGGAAAATAATCTCTTATAAAGCACTCTTTCCCCACTGAAATGACAAGTGTATGTGTTTATCCTCATAAATATATGTTCATCAACCTGAGTCCCAATTGTAGGGATCAATTTAAGCTGCTACACAGTGATGTATTTATTTCTTCATTTATTACAGTTAGATCCAACTCCTTATTCCAAGGACATCAGGATGGCGTACAGTGGCTTCCCACCCAATTTTATCCTCAGAACAACCTCATAACAAAGCTGAGGCCTTAGGCTTGTTCACATGTTGCATTGAACACAAGTGTGGGTTGTCTACAGATGTACAAGTCTTTGAGTGTCCACTTGTTGATTTCTTGTATATTCAGCTGTTATATACTCTGAATCTACACTTGAATGTTACATGTGAATTTATGAGTGTACTGTTCAGCTGTCGTGTTCCTGTGTCAGGGGGGAAAGAAAGGTTTTGGCACAGCCCTAATTATAACGGCTGGGATCAAACTTCTCTGCTTTGATCATCGAAAAGAAGCAAGCATCTGGTGTGCATTTTTTAAAAATAAAAGACATACTTGAAATAATTGCAGGCTCTGCCATGTGCACCCCAAAGTTCTGTGCCATCTCTGTCTTGTATAAACAGCACAGCAGTTTTAAGTATTTTTCATTTACTGTTGAGAAGCACTGGCATCAGG